CGCCCGCCCGCCCGCCCGCGGCTTGCCTGAAGCCTGAAGTGCCGCTGCCGCTGCGCTGCAGCGCCCCCCTCACATGCAGCGGCAGCATGCCACCAGCGCCCAAGTTGCCCTTTCACATCGCAAGCCCCTAGCCCCTGGGGTGGGGCCGCTGTGCTGCTGGCGGGCCAGCCGCCCGGCCGTGTTGTCCCTAGGCCTGCCGTCCATTCCAATAAGAGAAGCCTCAAGTGCCACTGCCGCTGCGCTGCTGCCTGCGGACCCGTGGGTCACCCTGCCCGTAACTCAAACAAGGCCGGCCCAGCCTCGATTTCGCGTGCCCTCCGGCCGCACTTCGGGGCTTCCCGCAACTTGCCGCCCTCACATGCAGCGCCAGCATGCCAGCAGCGCCCGCGGCCGCCTGGGAGGCCCCCGACGGGGTGGGCCGAGACAAGGTGGTCGCCAGCTGGTGGGCTCTGCCGCCGGGTGGCCAGGGGCCCCTGGGGTGGGGCCGCTGTGCTGCTGGCGGGCCAGCCGCCGGGCCGACGAGGCCGATGACGCCCTGGTCGCCCTGTCAGCGGAGGAGGGCTGCGCCTGGCGGTGGCCGGCGCCGCCGGCAGCCCCGAGGGGAGTAACCTTGCGGCCGCCTGCTGCATGCACCCGTGGTACGACCGCGACACGTTCGAGCCCAGCAGCAGGCCGGGGCCGCCGCCACCCCCCACTGCCCTCGCCCGCAGGCCCGGCGCCCACAGCGCCGCGGCGGCCCCCCGGGCCTCCGGGCTCGGCGGCAGCGCGGCGGCTTGGTGCGCCCGGCGGTGCGTCGCCCCCGAACACCACCCCGCCGGGGCCCTGGCGGCCCAGGCCCTCACCGCCCCGGCCCAACAGCTGGACCTCGACCGCTGGATGCCGGGGGCCGGCGAGGCGCCTGGCGTGGCCAGGCTCCGGGAGCTGTTCGGCCTCGAGAGCCCCCGGGCGTGGGGGGCGACGTGGCTCACCCAGAGGTGGGCGAGGCCCGCACCGGCCCCCCCGCCCGCCCGATGTGCCCGTGGCCGACATGGGGGTGGCGGCCTCTGCCGCCGTGTGGCCAGGGGCCCTGGGGTGGGGCCGCTGTGCTGCTGGCGGGCCAGCCGCCGAGCCGACGAGGCCGATGATGCCCTGGTCGCCCTGTCAGCGGAGGAGGGCTGGGGGCTCGTGACGGCCTCGGACCCCTGAGGGCGGGCCTTCGCGGCCTGGGGTAAGGCGCCCGCGGGCAACCGGCACTTGGCCCTGGCCCTGGCCCTGGCACTCACAGCTGCATTACTGCACCCTCCTATTTCCTTTCCAGCGGGCAGGGCAACACCACAACGGCAGCACCGCTGCCACCGGGCACCGCTGACTCCGCCCTGCCCCCTAGCCCCAAACCGCGCTACTCCCTTCCCCCTACCCCCTACCCCCGCCTTACCCCCTACCCCCTGGCCCCCCCCTACCCCCTAGCCCTGGCCCCCCCCTACCCCCTGGCCCCTACCCCCCCCCCCCCCCCACCCCCTACCCCCTACCCTACCCCCCCCCCCCACCACCACAGGGTGTCAGCGCCCTTCGGGCCGAAGGCCCAGCTTGTGCTGACACCCTCAGCCCCCGGCTGAGGGTGGCTGACGTCCTGCGCTGCGCCACTTGTGCAGCCGAGTTCGATTCCTGTCGGGAGCAGATTCCTTCTTCCTGCCCGCATTCGCCCGCCTTTTGCTGCTTGGCTGCCGCTTGCCGCTTTCTAGCACCTGCGCGTAGAGGGCTATCAGATGCAACCGCCCGCCCCCCAAGCCTTGCAGCCGCCGCCAAACGGGAACAGGGGTAGGGGGGAAGGGCCTGGGGAGGAAGGCCCTAGGCTTGGCGTCGTTTCGCATAGGATGAGCATGAGCTGCCGCCATAAACATATTAATAACCTACATACGGCCTGCGTTAAGAAGCCGCAATCGGCGCCTGAAATTGCTGCGGCGCCAGGAAGATATTGGCTCCCGATGGCAAGCCAGATTTCCAAACTTCTTCCCCAAACTTCCTCACCAGGCCGCGCTTTGCAGAACTATTTATATCTGGGTTCATGCCTTCCAGCACGGTACCGTAAAACAACATTACCTCACAAACGACAAGGGGGTTTCAGCTTCCTCAAAGCTGGAAAAGGGCGGAGCCCCTCCTCTTTAGTACAGGAACGTATTATTACCACTGGAATGATTGCGATTATTACAGGGGAGTGGAACGACTCAAGTGCGACGCACAACCCTATGGGCCTTATAGACCTGGAATGCGCTCCTGTGACTCCACGGCACCAGTTGACCTAACACACCTCGTTATACGGACGCTGAACCCCCTTGTTTACTGTAGTTTTAGTGCTCGTTGCATGGCTAGACGGGCTCAGAGCCCCTTGTCCAGCCGAGGCCGGCCGCCTTGTTCACCCATGGCGTACATAGTGTCCTCACTCATTGCACACATTGTTAGGTTACGCCTGTTCAATCGAGTACTTAGTAACGTCTTATCATGCTTGATAACACCCACGCCTTAGGCTACAGAACCCAAATCGACGGCGTAACTGCCACATGGAAGTGCTTTCAGGGTCCCGCAGAGTTTCACCTACATTACTAACATGATGAGGAGGTCAGGCTCCTCAATCTCGGCATCGTGCTCAGAAGGACTTCAGCCATTGCGCCGTCACATGACATGTTAGCTTATAAGCGAGGTATCCCGTACCCGTTTGCGTTACAGTTCATACGCATAAACCCATAGCAAAGGCTTGCAACATCGTCCCAAAGGATTGTGTGGGCTCTGAGTAGCACAGTAGATGCGAGCATGCTCCCGCCGACTTTCACAGGTAGCCCTTTGGCGACACGCCGCTGTTACCAATTCACTAAATACTGTTTACGGTACCAGGACAAACCATAGAGGAGCGCTAATCGCTGTTGCCGAGGTGGTCCTTGTTCAATGGCTGGTCAATAAATCGTTTGTTGCGAAATTAAGTTTGTTTGGCTTCCAGTTGTTTTTACTGAATACAGATAACAAATATCTATTAGGTGCAATAAATAGTTTTGTCTAGATTGTATGTTTTGCCGTTACGGACGGACACACGGACACACGGACACACGGACACACGGACAGGGGCAATCCTGGGGGGCGAAGCCCCCCCGAAGCCGCTTCGCGGCGGGGGCTCCGCCCAAAAAATGGCAACTCCCCCTAGCACCTTCCGAGCCGTGCAAGCCCCTAGCCCCTACCCCCCTAGCCCCCTTCCGCGCCGTGCAAGGCCCTAGCCCCTTCCCTGCTAACCCCCTTCCGAGCCGTTCATGCAAGCCCCTAGGTCGTACACCCCGGGCCTCCTTTCCAAGCTTCCTCCGAGCGGCGGAGGGTTGGACCACAGTCCCTAGGCTTGACGCCCATTCCAATAAGAGAAGCCTGAAGTGCCGCTGCCGCTGCGGTGCTGCCTCCGGACCCGTGGGTCACCCTACCCATAACTCAAACAAGGCCGGCCCAGCCGGCAATTCGCGTGCCCTCCCGCCGCACTTCGGGCCTTCCCGCAACTCGCCAAGCCCTCCCTTCGACGGCGATGGCATGCGCCGCAACACACCACCGCCGCCACCACCTTCTGCCCAGCTCTGCCGATCCGCCCTCCGCTTGCCAGGCCCACACGGCAGGCCCTACCACCACCCCTACTGCCACTGGGGGCTATGCCGCGCAACCACACCATCACCATGACAACCACTTAATGAAAGCACCGCCTTCTAACACATCGGTCACAAACGGTCGCGACCCTACCCACAACACCCTGCACCCTCCTATTCACTTTCCACCAGACAGAGCAACACGACAGCGACAGCACCGCTGCCTTCCAGGCACGCCCCCCTGGCGCTCGTTCCAACGTTGGGATGGGCTTCGGCGACGTGGCCGTGGCCAACATGGGGCCGGCGGCCTCTGCCGCCGGGTGGCCTCGCTCTGTGCTGCTGGCGGGCCAGCCGCCGGGCCGACGAGGTCCATGACGCCCTGGTCGCCCTGTCGGCGGAGGAGGGCTGGGGGCTCGTCACCGCCTCGGACCCCTGGGGGGAGGCCCCCGGGGGGGTGGGCCGAGACGGCCCCGCCCGGGCCCGGAGGCCCGGGGGGCCGCCGCGGCGCTGTGGGCGCTGCGCCTGCGGGCGGGGGCCGGCGTGGTGGCCCGGTGCGCCCGGTGGTGCGTCGCCCCCGAACGCCACCCCGCCGGCCAAGCCCCGCACCGCCCCGGCCCAGCAGCTGGGCCCGCCCGCGGTGGCCGCCGCCGCTGACAGCCCCGAGGGGAGCGACCTCGCGGCCGCCTGCACGGCCCGCGCTGTGCTGATGCTCTACGCCAGACCCACCCTACTCCCTTCCCCCTACCCCCTACCCCTGCCTTACCCCCTAACCCCTGGCCCCCCCCTACCCCCTAGCCCCTAGCCCCCCCTACTCCCTACCCCCTGGCCCCCCCCTACCCCCTGGCCCCTGCCCCCCCCCCCCCCTACCCCCTAGCCCCTACCCCCTATGCCCTACCCTACCCCCTACGCCCTACCACCATACGGCCCTCGGTGTAAAGGGTGTCAGCGCCCTTCGGGCCGAAGGCCCAGCTTGTGCTGACATCCTTTGGATGTCTGAAGGGGACAGCCTGCCTGCCTGCAACTGCCTGATCGATCCCTGCTGATTGCATATGCTTGCTGATCTTGCTGGCTTGCATCTTGCATCCATACATGCAAGCCACCTGGCGGCACTCAACACAACTACAGCGTACAGGCTACACTACAACATGCAAGCATGAACAACAGGCAGCGCTGCTCGCAAAAAAGTAGGGTTTGATATCCTTGCGTAAAATAAATGCACCTTCCGCGCAAAACAGCGTCACGCCAGACGTTGCTTTTGCTAATATTATACCGGCAACACATACAGCGTGAAGTGTATTCTGCAATCCTTGTATCCGGCAAATACAAAGCGACTGTATGCGAGAAATCTGAGGAACCGAAGGCAACCACCGCAATCTCCTCAAATTTGACGTAGTCCGCATTCCCTCCCCTTCCCCTTTCCTAAAAAGTCTTCCTTATGAAATATATCGTCCGCACTTCCTCCTTCTATTCGCATATTGATCCCTGACTACACAGCAGGCTACCAACCTCGCGACATCGCTTTTTCCACCCGCGACCATCACCGTTGTTTCTTTTATAATTGTGCTCCTGACTACAAGAAAACGCTGCCGAATTAGCGATAACATAAGAAGCTGCGTGCGGCGCACACAATTGTGGTCGAAATCTACTGCCTCGTGGAGTCGCCGATAAACGAAATGGCGATAAAGTGAGGTCCGGAAATCAATCAAGTAAGAGAATGCCATTTTCATTTCCGGGCGCAGCATATTCGTCGGCGCTGGACTGCAGACATTAAAATGGACATCTTGCGACCTCAACTGCGAGCCCGCATACTCTTGTCTTCCCTGCGTTCCATTATGAACCGCTGCAAATGAAGGAGAGTATTACAGCGCCCCCTAGAGATCGACCCTCCGACTACCGGCTATGCACTTTCCAGACACCGCAGCATGCAAGCCCTGCTTACGTTACCAACTGCGACCGACCCCAACCCTACCACCGAAACCTGCAGTATAGACTGAGGACACGTCTTACAGAGAGGGCAAAGTGGCGGGCGGCAGCGGGCGGTCCACCTATCGGTCCTCTCCTTCTTCCCCCAGGCGTGTTCCCCACCCTCTGGTGCATGCAGCCATCTTCTAGTACCGCTCGAACCGTAGATAGGCGGACGATCGGAGAGGGAAAACGCGCGTGCCAGCAGCCCCCGGTTCCAGGTCAGTACAGCACGCTCCCCTCGCACTTCCTCCATGCCCCCAAGACGCCGCACTCGCCCTTACTACCCACAAAACTGCATGTGCGTACCCCACCGCTCCTACCTTCATGCCTACCTTCTCCTTCCCACGCGCTTTCCCCACCCTTTGCTGCATGCAGGCTTCTTCATAGTCCAGCTCCGTGCGGCATCGCTGCTACCTGCTAGCCTAACATCTCCTTCCTCGCTGCAAGCCCCACCATTCCGTCTTTTGCTCCCTCCCTGCACTGCACGCCCCCTTACTACCCGCAATACTGCATGTGCGTACACAGTCGCTGCTACCTGCAAGCCTACCTTCTCCTTCCCCCACGCACTTCCCCCACCCTTTCCTCCATGCAGGCTTCTTCTGGTACCCCTGCAACCAGCCATACGCCGACGCGCGGAAACCCAGGGCTTATGCACACGTCCATGCCAGCAGCCTCCGCTTCCAAATGAGTACAGCGCCACCGCATCGGTTGTCCCGTTGCCTCCCGTACCACCGCGCTCTTCCAGTGCATGCTCCTGCCATGTATGCCACCACCGCTGCTTCCCCCCCGCACCTTCTCCTACCCCACCGCTACCACCACCAATCGGTCTTCTCCTCCTTCCCCCACGCACTTCCTCCACCGTCTGATGCAGCCTTTGGTACCGCCGCATCGCCTCCCTCCTCTTTCCTCCCCTCCGACTTCCTGCATTGCACACCCCGTTGCAACCCGCAATACGGCATATACCTGCAAGCCTACCTTTTCCTTCCCAACGAAAACCCCCACCTATCCGTGCTGTCCCCCTTCCCCCAGGCGTCTTCTAGTACCGCTGCAGCCATACATACGCCGACGGGCGGGGGACGTGCCAGCAGCCCCCGCTTGAAAGTGAGTACAGCGTGGACGGAGCAGGGGGCACGTCCCCAACACTGCCCCCGCAGCTTTCCACCTGTCGCAAGTGTGTGTAAGCCCTACTCCCGCCTAGCGCGCCGCCTGCGTCGACCTCACCGACCTCACCCTTGTTATGTTATGCTCCTGGCCGGTAACGCAGCGATGCGACCCACCCACGCCCTGTGCTTGTGTGAGGCAATCCCGCGTGATGCAGGAGTCTTTTGGCTCTGCGTGTAGCGTTGCGAACACCTAACCACAGTCCGTCTGTGCACGTATTCCCTCACCACACGCTTAACTGCCAGTCCAAAGGTCTTCTTCCTCGCACCTTGGTTGTTGCACTGCGTTCTGACCTTCTTCTGCATCCCTCATGTGCTCTTGTTGCAGGGCAAAGGCAAGCAGTAGCCCAGGTTGTTCGATGCCGCTGGTGGGGCGGGGGAGGCGTGGCACGGGGGAGGCCCAGGTTTGTGTCGTACCGGCCTGTACTCTGGCGGCGTTGGGGGTTCGTAGCAGTGCCTCTTAAGTATGTATGGATAGCCCCGCCCTAACGCTGCCTTTTCGCCCCTCTCGCCCCGTAACACACAAACCCCCCCCCTCCGTGCTGGCATCCTGCTTAACTTCATGTGCGTGTTTACCCCCCACCCCCACAGGCACAGCACACACCGCGGTGGGTATCAAGAACGCCGGCGTTTTGTGGAGACGGAGAAAAGCAGCTGGGGCAGAGTGTGTGTTGGGGGCACGGGTGAGTGTACGCTGCCCTGCTTTGCAGCCCCACGCAGCCCCATAGTGGTACCCTGCTCTCTTCCTGTTGTGTGCTCGTTATGTCCCTCTCCTCCGACCTTACAGCGCCCTCACTACTGACACCCTTCTTGCCCTCCCCGTCCAACCTGTCCTGCACCGCCGCTGCCGCCGTCGTCACCCCCTCGTCCCTCCCGCCCTCCATGCACGAACGAATGTGCTAACACGTACTGTAGTAAGCTACGGCTTCCTTATAGAGTGCTCATTGATGCAGCAAGGTTGCATGGGTTCGCGAATGAGGTTTAATTGCACATCCGGGGCGAAATGTGTGATACCGGTAGGGGGCGTTGGTGGTAACGGCTCATGAGGGCGCTGGAGGGAATCCACCGCGGATTGGCCTGGACGTTGTCGCATGTTGCAACCAAGCTATCCCTGGATAGCCCTTTGCATCGGCTATCGATTGCAAAAGGTGCGGTTATGAACTGCCAAGTCGCTCCAGAGTTCTGCCGTACCGCGTGCCGTACAATGGTTAGTTGCTGGAGGGCCTGGTGAACTTGGGAAGCCCGGATCTGGCCCATCCCTTCACTGTTCCCAGCCCGGATTGCGGCTACGGCTTCCTTATAGAGTGCTTATTGATGCAGCAAGGTTGCATCTGTTCGCGAATGAGGTTTAATTGCACATCCGGGGCGAAATGTGTGATACCGGTAGGGGGCGTTGGTGGTAACGGCTCATGAGGGCGCTGGAGGGAATCCACCGCGGATTGGCCTGGACGTTGCCGCATGTTGCAACCAACCTATCCCTGGATAGCCCTTTGCATCGGCTATCGATTGCAAAAGGTGCGGTTATGAACTGCCAAGTCGCTCAAGAGTTCTGCCGTACCGCGTGTCGTACAATGGTTAGTTGCTGGAGGGCCTGGTGAACTTGGGAAGCCCGGATCTGGCCCATCCCTTCACTGTTCCCAGCCCGGATTGCGGCTACGGCTTCCTTATAGAGTGCTTATTGATGCAGCAAGGTTGCATCTATTCGCGAATGAGGTATAATTGCACATCCGGGCCAAAATGTGTGATACCGGTAGGGGGCGTTGGTGGTAACGGCTCATGAGGGCGCTGGACGGAATCCACCGCGGATTGACCTAGACGGTGTCGCATGTTCCAACCAAGCTGCCCTGAATAGCCAAAATGGTGCGATTACGAACTGCCAAGTCGCTGACGAGTTCTGCCGTACCGCGTGTCGTACAATGGTTACTTGCTGGAGGGCCTGGTGAACTTGGGAAGCCCGGATCTGGCCCATCCCTTCACTGTTCCCAGCCCGGATTGCGGCTACGGCTTCCTTATAGAGTGCTTATTGATGCAGCAAGGTTGCATCTGTTCGCGAATGAGGTTTAATTGCACATCCGGGGCGAAATGTGTGCTACCGGTAGGGGGCGTTGGTGGTAACGGCTCATGAGGGCGCTGGACGGAATCCACCGCGGATTGACCTAGACGGTGTCGCATGTTGCAACCAAGCTATCCCTGGATAGCCCTTTGCATAGGCCATCCAATGCAAAAGCTGCGGTTATGAACTGCCAAGCCCTTGAAGAGTTATGCCGTACCGCGTGCCATACAATGGTTAGTTGGTGGAGGGCCTGGTGAACTTGGGAAGCCCGGATCTGGCCCATCCCTTCACTGTTCCCAGCCCGGATTGCGGCTACGGCTTCCTTATAGAGGGCTCATTGATGCAGCAAGGTTGCATGGGTTCGCGAATGAGGTTTAATTGCACATCCGGGGCGAAATGTGTGATACCGGTAGGGGGCGTTGGTGGTAACGGCTCATGAGGGCGCTGGACGGAATCCACCGCGGTATTCCCCCCCCCCCCCACCACCACCCCCCGAGCCCACCATGGTGCTTGGCACTACTGTACAAGCCGCGCCGTGACGTCTTGCACCTCCCCTCCTCATGTATTCGCCAAAGGATGTCAGGCCCTCGGGCCCCCCGGGCCCAGCTTGTGCTGACACCCTCAGCCGAGGGCTGAGGGGGGCTGACGTCGACAGCTGACGTAGTTGTCACACCCCTGTTCGATTCCTGCCGGGAGCAGATTCCTTCTTCCTGCCCGCATTCGCCCGCCTTTTGCCGCTTTCCTGCCGCTTGCCGCCTTCTAGCACCTGCGCCTGGAGGGCTATCGGACGCAACCGCCCGCCCCCCAAGCCTTGCAGCCGGCGCCAAACGGGAACAAGGCTAGGGGGGAAGGCCCTAGGGAGGAAGCCCCTAGGGTTGGCGTCGTTTCGCTTGGGAAAAGGCTGGGCTGCCGCCATAAAGGTATTAATAACCTACATACAGCCTGCGTTAAGAAGCCGCAATCGGCACCTGAAATTGCTGCGGCGCCAGGAAGATATGGCCTCCTGATGACAAGCCAAATTTTCAAACTTCTTCCCCAATCTTGCGCACCAGGCCGCGCTTTGCACAACTATTCACACCTGGGTTCATGCCGTTCAGCACGGTACCGTAAAACAACATTACCTCACAAACGAAAAATGGCACCTCCCCCTAGCACCTTCCGAGCCGTGCAAGCCCCTAGCCCCTACCCCCCTAGCCCCCTTCCGAGCCGTGCAAGCCCCTAGCCCCTACCCCCCTACCCCCCTTCCTAGCCGTGCAAGCCCCTAGCCCCTACCCCCCTAGCCCCGGCTTCCTAGCCATGCAAGCCCCTAGCCCCTTCCCCCCTAGCCCCGGCTTCCGAGCCGTGCAAGCCCCTAGCCCCATCCCCGCTAACCCCCTTCCTAGCCATGCATGCAAGTCCCTACCTCGTACACCCCGGGTAGCCTGAAGCCTGAAGCGCCGCTGCCGCTGCGCTGCTGCCTGCAAACCCATGCCTCAAACAAGGCCGGCCCAGCCGGCAATCCCGCCGCACTTCGGGCCTTCCCGCAACTCGCCAAACCCTTGCACCGCCCGACGCAACGCCCCCCTCACATGCAGCGGCAGCATGCCAGCAGCGCCCAAGTTGCCCTTTCACATCGCAAGCCCCTAGCCCCTGGGGTGGAGCCGCTGTGCAGCTGGCCCGCCAGCCCCCTAGCCCCCTTCCGAGCCGTGCAAGCCCCTAGCCCCTACCCCCCTACCCCCCTTCCGAGCCGTGCAAGCCCCTAGCCCCTTTCCCGCTAACCCCCTTCCTAGCCATGCATGCAAGTCCCTACCTCGTACACCCCGGGTCTCCCTGAAGCCTGAAGCGCCGCTGCCGCTGCGCTGCTGCCTGCGAACCCATGCCTCAAACAAGGCCGGCCCAGCATGCAATCCCGCCGCACTTCGGGCCTTCCCGCAACTCGCCAAGCCCTCCCACTGCCCGACGCAGCGCCCCCCTCACATGCAGCAGCAGCATGCCAGCAGCGCCCAAGTTGCCCTTTCACATCGCAAGCCCCTAGCCCCTGGGGTGGGGCCGCTGTGCTGCTGGCGGGCCAGCCGCCCGGCCGTGTTGTCCCTAGGCCTGCCGTCCATTCCAATAAGAGAAGCCTCAAGTGCCACTGCCGCTGCGAGAAGCCTCAAGTGCCACTGCCGCTGCGCTGCTGCCTGCGGACCCGTGGGTCACCCTGCCCGTAACTCAAACAAGGCCGGCCCAGCCTCGATTTCGCGTGCCCTCCCGCCGCACTTCGGGCCTTCCCGCAACTCGCCAAACCCTTGCACCGCCCGACGCAACGCCCCCCTCACATGCAGCGGCAGCATGCCAGCAGCGCCCAAGTTGCCCTTTCACATCGCAAGCCCCTAGCCCCTGGGGTGGAGCCGCTGTGCAGCTGGCCCGCCAGCCCCCTAGCCCCCTTCCGAGCCGTGCAAGCCCCTAGCCCCTACCCCCCTACCCCCCTTCCGAGCCGTGCAAGCCCCTAGCCCCTTTCCCGCTAACCCCCTTCCTAGCCATGCATGCAAGTCCCTACCTCGTACACCCCGGGTCTCCCTGAAGCCTGAAGCGCCGCTGCCGCTGCGCTGCTGCCTGCAAACCCATGCCTCAAACAAGGCCGGCCCAGCCGGCAATCCCGCCGCACTTCGGGCCTTCCCGCAACTCGCCAAACCCTTCCACCGCCCGACGCAGCGCCCCCCTCACATGCAGCGGCAGCATGCCAGCAGCGCCCAAGTTGCCCTTTCACCTCGCAAGCCCCTAGCCCCTGGGGTGGGGCCGCTGTGCAGCTGGCCCGCCAGCCCCCTAGCCCCCTTCCGAGCCGTGCAAGCCCCTAGCCCCTACCCCCCTACCCCCCTTCCGAGCCGTGCAAGCCCCTAGCCCCTTTCCCGCTAACCCCCTTCCTAGCCATGCATGCAAGTCCCTACCTCGTACACCCCGGGTCTCCCTGAAGCCTGAAGCGCCGCTGCCGCTGCGCTGCTGCCTGCGAACCCATGCCTCAAACAAGGCCGGCCCAGCATGCAATCCCGCCGCACTTCGGGCCTTCCCGCAACTCGCCAAGCCCTCCCACTGCCCGACGCAGCGCCCCCCTCACATGCAGCAGCAGCATGCCAGCAGCGCCCAAGTTGCCCTTTCACATCGCAAGCCCCTAGCCCCTGGGGTGGGGCCGCTGTGCTGCTGGCGGGCCAGCCGCCCGGCCGTGTTGTCCCTAGGCCTGCCGTCCATTCCAATAAGAGAAGCCTCAAGTGCCACTGCCGCTGCGAGAAGCCTCAAGTGCCACTGCCGCTGCGCTGCTGCCTGCGGACCCGTGGGTCACCCTGCCCGTAACTCAAACAAGGCCAGCCCAGCCTCGATTTCGCGTGCCCTCCCGCCGCACTTCGGCGCTTCCCGCAACTCGCCGCCCTCACATGCAGCGCCAGCATGCCAGCAGCGCCCGCGGCCGCCTGGGAGGCCCCCGACGGGGTGGGCCGAGACAAGGTGGTCGCCGGCTGGTGGGCTCTGCCGCCGGGTGGCCAGGGGCCCCTGGGGTGGGGCCGCTGTGCTGCTGGCGGGCCAGCCGCCGGGCCGTGTTGTCCCTAGGCTTGCCGTCCATTCCAATAGGAGAAGCCTCAAGTGCCACTGCCGCTGCGCTGCTGCCTGCGGACCCGTGGGTCACCCTGCCCGTAACTCAAACAAGGCCGGCCCAGCCTCGAATTCGCGTGCCCTCCCGCCGCACTTCGGGGCTTCCCGCAACTCGCCGCCCTGACATGCAGCGCCAGCATGCCAGCAGCACCCGCGGCTGCCTGCGAGGCCCCCGACGGGGTGGGCCGAGACAAGGAGGTCGCCGGCTGGTGGGCTCTGCCGCCGTGTGGCCAGGCCGTGTGGCCGCTGCTGCCTGCGAACCCATGCCTCAAACAAGGCCGGCCCAGCATGCAATCCCGCCGCACTTCGGGCCTTCCCGCAACTCGCCAAGCCCTCCCACCGCCCGACGCAGCGCCCCCCTCACATGCAGCGGCAGCATGCCAGCAGCGCCCAAGTTGCCCTTTCACATCGCAAGCCCCTAGCCCCTGGGGTGGGGCCGCTGTGCTGCTGGCGGGCCAGCCGCCCGGCCGTGTTGTCCCTAGGCCTGCCGTCCATTCCAATAAGAGAAGCCTCAAGTGCCACCGCCGCTGCGCTGCTGCCTGCGGACCCGTGGGTCACCCTGCCCGTAACTCAAACAAGGCCGGCCCAGCCTCGACTTCGCGTGCCCTCCCGCCGCACTTCGGGCCTTCCCGCAACTCGCCGCCCTCACATGCAGCGCCAGCATGCCAGCAGCGCCCGCGGCCGCGGGTGGGCCGAGACAAGGTGGTCGCCGGCTGGTGGGCTCTGCCGCCGGGTGGCCAGGGGCCCCTGGGGTGGGGCCGCTGTGCTGCTGGCGGGCCAGCCGCCGGGCCGTGTTGTCCCTAGGCTTGCCGTCCATTCCAATAGGAGAAGCCTCAAGTGCCACTGCCGCTGCGCTGCTGCCTGCGGACCCGTGGGTCACCCTGCCCGTAACTCAAACAAGGCCGGCCCAGCCTCGAATTCGCGTGCCCTCCCGCCGCACTTCGGGGCTTCCCGCAACTCGCCGCCCTGACATGCAGCGCCAGCATGCCAGCAGCACCCGCGGCCGCCTGCGAGGCCCCCGACGGGGTGGGCCGAGACAAGGAGGTCGCCGGCTGGTGGGCTCTGCCGCCGTGTGATTAGGGGCCCCCTGGGGTGGGGCCGCTGTGCTGCTGGCGGGCCAGCCGCCGGGACGACGAGGCTGATGACCCCCTGGTCGCCCTGTCAGCGGAGGAGGGCTGGGGGCGGGCCTTCGCGGCCTGGGGCAAGGCGCCCGCGGGCAACTGGCACTGGGCCCTGGGCCTGAGGCGCCTGCGCCTGGCGGTGGCCAGCGCCGCCGGCAGCCCCAAGGGGAGCAACCTCGCGGCCGCCTGCTGCATGCCCCCGTGGTACGACCGCGCCACGTTCCAGCCCAGGAGGAGGCCCGGGCCGCCGCCACCCCCCACTGCCCTCGCCCGAGCCCGGAGCCCCAGGGGGCCGGCGCGGCGCTGTGGGCGCCGGGCCTGCGGGCAGCGGCGGCGCATCGCGCAGGCGCGCCACTGCCTCGGAGTGCCAATGCTCTACGCCGGGGCTGGGGTGCAGGTGGCCGACGTGCA